ATGGTTGTGCTAATTATACTTTTCCACAGCTACTTTAATCTTCCTGTTCAGGGTTTCTCAACTCCGCCACTACTCTATCTTACCTTTCCAACACAACCCCCCGATCCTGGAGATGTTCGAGGAGGAGGATGGCGCAGTAACATGCCTGACGATAGAGCGAATACAGGATCATCTTCCTCTGCGGCCTCGCCATTCATACCACCCCATTTATTCAAGAGCTACAATTCACCCTCTGTCTTTGGTGTAGACCCGCCACGTCCAGCTCGAGAGGGATACGAATAGGTGTGGTTCCCAGAGGGCTACTGGGCAGAGAGACAGCCTGCAACCGCCCCACGGACGAAGAGTAATGCTAGCTCTCGGTTGTGGAGGTGGAAATCACGATCCCGCAAGTCCACAAGCGAGACGGACGGAAGAGATGCATCATATGCGTCTCCCACGGCATCGGTATCATCACCATTATCGAAATTCAGCACCACTGGCGCTTAGCAAGCCCCCAGTCCGTATCTTTCCGAGTCTGCCCATGTCTTATCTTTACAACATCCTGTAGCCAAGGTTTTGGCTGATGGGTCTGGTGAAAGTGTCACAGTATCGCCAAACTCGAATGAGACTAAAGTGAAATGGCAAAGGAATGAAAATACCCCTGGCCCGATCTTCGATGCGTTGCGTCCCCAGATGACACCTCATACCCCGTCTATTCGGTCTCAAAGTTCCAGAAGGTTATGGATATCCAAAAGAAGTGACTACTCTGAACAACAGGATGAGTTACGCCCCGGCAACATACCCCTGGAGCATAATGCGGTTGGTGATATTACACAAGAAGTCTGCGCTTTAATGGCATTAACTCACTAAAGGTACAGATGGAAGAAAGCCCTAATAATGATCACAAACTGCAAAACAGTAGCGTCCCATGTGCTCGTCTCCCGTGGATGTCTGCTTGGTCCCACAGTCTGGGCAAGACTGGTACTTGGTTCAAGGAAGAAGTTGCGCACTCGAAGCTCAGTCACAAGTTCTTTCGTCGAGCTTCCTCGCATTCGAAGCATCCTCGCCAGACATTATGTGCAACTCCAAACTCCTCGAGACGAGGATCCAAAAATACCCGTAAATACGGGTCAGGAATGTTCCTTAGCACCAACAGTAAGTTCACGCCTTTCTCTACTCGCAAATACTCGCAACCAGGACCACACTCACAGCTTCTCAGATAGTTTTCGGTCCGCAAATAGTCAATTCCCTGGAGGAGTAAGTACACATTCGCCGTTGTTAGTCTGCAACGCCGTAGTAATAGACCACATTTAACAAGGTTTCAGGAAGCTATTCGAGTCAGCACACCGCCTTTGGACGAGGACACGGCGGACGGAAAGCCCAGAGGTTTCTTCACTTCAATGACGCCGCCAGATCATAATTCAACTAGCAGCCCTTCTCCGACGCAATCTTCCACCCATTCAAGCCCTCACCATGGCTATCAACGCAGCAGCTTCTCCTCTCAGCCTCGAGAATGGTGGGATCCAATGCCTCCACGCAGCAAACGCCGGAAGCAACAGCATCAACAGCCCTCTGCTGAGGACTTTGCATTCGATGTACCGGAGCACTTGCCAAGCAGTCCTCTTTGCCCTACCAATAGTCGGCATAAAAGCGGCGGGACAGGACTGTGTGTCTACCACGGGCGAAGGAGAGCCAGGTCTACTCTGAGGGACGCCAGTGGGAGGTGCACTAGCACAGAGCTAACTGGAGGTCTTTATTAGAATGACAATATTTCGTTCCTTGTATCATAAATTCAATAGATCCGTTTTTTTTTTTTTTTTTTGGGCAAAGGAAAAAAAAGAAAAGAGAGAGAAAGAAAAAGAAAAAGACACACACAATTTTTTGGGTGTCCAAAAGCCATGCTACTGCCAATCGTTATGCTGTAATCCAATTTCCTTCCTTCCCGGAATATATCGTTCTTTTTCATCTCGTACACCAACGCCAGGCTAAGTCCTGTGAGAGTTATTTAAATAATGTGTATACTCGTAATTATCTCTGCTTCCAGCAAACATCAATCTAAACAGCTTAACAGCTTCAACCTCTTCATTGCCTCTCTGAGATCCAGCTCAAATGTGAGAGGCGCCCTCGTATTCCGTAGACTCCTTGAGAGGGTCATACTGGGAAGGTGACCTTTCATTTCCGTTATAAACGGCATCGAGCTGCCCCAGTCGGTGCATCTCGTACGGTGAATTTGATCGGTTTTGAAAACCAGCCTTTTGATCCGCACCACCCCAGTCCTTGCTAGGTATCATAGGCACGTCGACAGGTTCGTACGACTGCTTCTTCTTGAATGAGAAAAAAGTCCCCGCCCGCTTGAAGCTTTCTTCATGACCACCAATGTGGGTGAGAATAAGAACAACGGTGTAGACAGTAAAGATGTTAAGCAGCACCCACCAGGTGGAAGAACATCGGAAGCAAGCGTCTGTTAAATCTCCTCCTTGTTCCTCCTCAAGTTTCTCGGACGGCGAAGTGAGCCAAAGAATAGAGATGAGACCCGTTCCCAGGGCCGAGATGATGAGTATAACGAGACGTATGATTGGATGTCAGTCGCTTAAAAGGATGGGTGTTGGTGAATCTCATCACGGTCCAAATGTCAGAATGACCGTAAGGATTGCTTCCGCGCCAGATACAAAGTACCATGTCATGTACACTCAACTGCGCTTGCCGTCTTTGAAACAGAACGTGATGCCCAGATATATGAGCATAGCGACAATGTTGATACCAATGCTTACATAGAGCGGGATTCGACTCTTTTTATACTGCCTTACATGCCACAAAGTACTTGCGTATTCGACCGCAAGGACAGCGCGAGAAAACACCAGAATGAGGGCTTGTGGAGAGTGTCAGCTTTGTTGTATTCCAATATATGGTAGAAAACATGGACCGTTGTGGTGTAGCACCTTTTCTTTTAAGATCAAATATATATGTGAATAACAATAACAAATTAAAACAAAACAGACTTACACTTGGTTCTCATTGTCTGCGCCTGTTGGTTCGATGGATCAAAGGTCGGGGCGACAACGGCAAAGCCAACCAAGACACCAAGCTGAAGGCTCTCGCTGTCGGTTTCGATGAGCCCAGCTCGAGGGCAGTCGAAAATCCAGAGCCGCGAATTCGGATGTATCGTGCTGGATCTAGCGGCTACAGCTACAGTTCAAGACTTGAGAGAGGGACGTTCACAAACTTTGGACGTGGCTCCTGAGCGTCGTATGAAACCCAAGGAAGGACCACCAGGACCTGCAGTTAATAACCTCGCGAACATCTTTCGGGCCAGACTAAAGTGCCCCTCGTCGGAACTTGCAACTTATTATTACAAGGACTCATGAGCTTGGCAGGCTTGGTAACGTCTTGTTGGCATCGATTCGACGCCCAGTCCCACATGTACGGGACCTCCGACTCAGTCGCGTGGCTGAGGTTTTTATGGTTCTTATGCCGGGTGCTGCTCATATGCCGAATACAGCATTCGAAGTTGAGGACTGTCAGCTCGTTGGACGACGAAGAGGATTTTCTCTCGTAATTTCCCGCAAATAGGACAGGGCTGACATGGTTCACGACAAATGCCCCTGCTGGGACATCAGATGCGGGATAGTCCAGCCCTACGAGGCAAAACTGTGCGAGCAACTGATGACAGAACCTTGCCACGTCAATGTCTCATTCTGTGAGAATAGTGTAAACCGACTTTGGGGGAGATGCCTGGCGTGTTTGAATCGCCCAAAACCACCCACACATAATGCCATTTTAATTTTCGCGAGGCTCTTTGAACCAACTGCTTTCCCTACCCTCTACCAGAGACTGGTAAATTAACTCAAAAAAGGCCATCCCCAGCTTGCTGGTAGAATTGGCAGTGCGTTCTTTGGGTCTTGGTCCCGGTTGTTGATGTAGCCATGAGGCTACCGCGTCCCTAGAGTGAACCGCATTGAAATCTTCCGTTGTGGCCAACACTGTTCCCATCTCTAGGTTTTCGACGATCAAATCCTTGGTGTAACTGTATTGCCCGAGCCTTTACCATCCGAGCAACAGGACGAGCTCAGGAGCGAAGGACTTTTCGAGTAGGTTTGGCCTAACTATCTGTTCAGACTTTCCAGCGTAGGGAGTACAAGCGCTTTGCCAGTCCGAGAGTGGTGCTCTGTGGGGGTTGAGGAATTTGCCGATCTTACGCTGCATGCAATAATTGGGCAGCAGAAAAAAAGGAAAAAATCCCTAATTTGGCCAGTTATTAGACTAGCAGCCCTGGAATCGAAAACGACATGTTACCTTAACTCGGCATGAGCATACTAGTAGTTGGTATTGAGGATTGAAGGTCCGACCCAAGTTTTCCGGTAGCAAACGTCTGTAGCGCAGAAGATGGAGTTTCACAAGTCGATCTCATTTGTAAGTGGTACTGGTGGATATGAGCAATGATACAAGATCTCGGGTCAACAAAAAAGAAATGGGCTGCAAGGCTTAATATTGAGGAGAAGGGGGAGCGTGCACCAAATATGCAAGGAAAAGGAGCTTGTGGTGATCCATCTGACCAGGGACAATTTTTGCGGCGGAGAACACATCAATCACCAAAAGGACATAACAGGTGAGAGAAGATGGAAACCAAGGTAAGCATCACTTGGTTTTGATTATATCTAACGTGCAGTTGATAAGTACAAATTTATGGAGTACATCAATGAATGACATGCTGAAGTGGTCCAAGTGGTTTTGCTGCTCGTGCCTGGGCTGTTGTGCCTTCCCAGTTGGCTGTGGCTGCCCTTGCCTTCTCCATCCGTATTAGTGGTGCACTGGTGGGTACAGACAGAGCCTGCCAATCGGCTGCATGCGTCGCGCTCAACGCGTCTCACACTCCAAATTGACCCGATGTCAGTCAATTGACGCGCCAAATAACCTCCACCTTCATCTGACGGCATGCCAGAGCAGACGATTGATCAACCAGAACGTCGTCGTATCAACCGTCACCTACGAGCTTTGCATTTAAGCTCAAAGTGGACTTGGCGATGGATCAGGATGTAACCCCGACTGGCCGAAAGCGATCGATAGACGACATTGAAAATAATATAATACCCGAGACGCTCCCCGTCAAGAGGAGAAAGTTGGTTGATGCAGCAGCTGGCTCACCCTCGACCCCCAAAGCCCTTACAGCCATTGCCTCAGCCATCTCGGGCGTTTTTGGATCCGGCCGCCAGTCTCAAAAAGAGGTCAATGGCACCGAACCATCTTTGACAACTATTTCAACCGAACCTAAGCCTCTACTCAGCGCCAACAAGAATGGCCTTTTGCTCAACCCAGCTGCTCCTGCTGCTCCAGCTTTGTCACCAATGAAACGCCCCGCCATCAAGATAGCAGCATTGAGAGGAACAATATGGGACAATGGCGATCTTCCCGAAACAAAGAAATGTACTGTTCCAAAGCGCCCAGCCAAGCAAGCCGGGGTAGGAAATAGCTATCAGGGTCCATTACCGCCCGCGTCTGTTTACCAGCCCAAAGAGGTGATAGCATTCGCCCGGAAGCCGGGCTCTACCGCTGGCAACAAAGCACAACAGCCAAAGGGCATTCTCACACCAACTAAGAAACGAGGCCGACCACGCAAAAACGTCACCTTTAACAGGGGTGCCGATGGCGAAGTCTTCTTTGATGATCTACCCAAGACACCGAGCGCAAGAAAACCAAAAGCCAAAGCACAAAAGGAACAGCAAGAGGATGACGGAATTGTCTGCGAGATATGTTACAAACCGGACTCAGTAGCGCCAAACGAGATTATACTTTGCGATAATTGCGATTTTGCCGTACATCAGCAATGCTACGATATCGCAGAGATCCCCGAGGGCGACTGGTTGTGCAAATCTTGCTCTCAGGAAGATGTGCTCAAGACCCCAGGCGAGCCCAACCAGGTAGAAGCCAAAATGAACGAACCTTCATATCCGGTCGAGGTGCCCGACATACCGAACCTGGATCAGCATCTGCGAGGGTTTCAGCGTGTGCTCTTGGACCGATGCTCAGGACGGCGTCGCATACGGATGTTCGGACAGGAGGAGCCGTATGAGAAGGTCAGGCAGCTTGTTGAACAAACTGTTGTGGCGGGAGAGGGCAACTCAATGTTGGTCATTGGACCACGTGGCTCTGGCAAGACGACGGTAAGCAATAAATGACGACGGATTATGCGGCGTATGGAGATTGTACTAATGAAGAACAATGTGTAGTTGGTGGAAAACATCATAGTTGATCTATCAAAGGAACATGGGCATGAGTTTCACGTAGTACGGCTTAATGGATTCATCCACACTGATGACAAGTTGGCCCTGAAGGAAATCTGGCGACAGCTTGGAAAGGAGATGGAGGTCGAAGACGACCTACTGAACCGGGTAGGCTGACCACATGCATTGTCAAAGTCGATTGCTAATACAGAGTGCAGGCAAACTACGCAGATACGATGGCATCGCTTCTGGCTTTACTCTCGCACCCATCCGAAATTATGGGCACCGACGAAAACCTTACGTCTCAATCGGTGGTATTCATCATTGACGAGTTTGACATGTTTGCGTCCCATCCCAGACAGACCCTATTGTATAATCTTTACGACATTGCACAATCTCGCAAGGCCCCGATTGCCGTCCTGGGTTGCACCACTCGTATTGGTGTAGTGGATATGCTTGAGAAGAGAGTCAAGAGTCGCTTTAGCCACCGCTACGTGTATCTCGCTCCACCCAAATCTCTGCCGGCATTCTGGCAGATTTGTCGCCAAGGCCTTATGATTGACAAACCTGATGTCGAGGGCGAAGGTATAAATGTTCACATGGAGGGCTACATTGAGTTTCATAAATACTGGACCCAAAAGATAGAGGTAAAGTTCATCTCAGCGTGACCTTGATTTTGTTTTTCTTTTACAGAGGTCAGGCTGACAGACTTGCAGGAGCTCTACAAGCAACGGCAATTCCAACAGTTGTTACAATATCATTACTTTACAACAAAGTCTGCGGCGGCGTTCTTTACGGAATGGATATCGCCTCTTGCTTCGCTCTCGTCAAGGAACCTTGCAATGAACAGCCCGACTGCATCGTCACCGACGACTTCGTTGGCTCCCCCGGACTCACGGCTGCAATTGTTGTCCACCTTGTCGTATCTTGAGCTGGGACTACTCATCGCCGCGGCGAGATTAGACATTGTGGCGCACACGGACACGGTCAATTTCGCCATGGCATACGACGAGTACAGCTCGCTGGTTGGCAAACAACGGGTCCAATCGTCGACTGCGGGGATGCTGGCCATGGGCGGCAGCGCGAGGGTATGGAGCCGTGGTGTTGCAGGAGTGGCATGGGAGAGGTTAATTGCACTGGGATTGTTGGTGCCTGCTGGAATCGGCGGCAGCAGGTCCCTTGGACACGGAGGGCTGGACAGCAAAATGTGGAAAGTTGATGTTGTGCTGGAGGAGATTCCGACAGCAGTCAAGCTGAGCGCGACGCTGGCAAGATGGTGCCGGGAGATATGAGGCATGTTTTGGTGGCCTTTCAAAGGAGTTGTCCCTGAATGGGAGATGATGTATCATAAGCATTGACGTGGCATTGATATGAAATTGCATGTAGTGGGAGCATAAAAGCAGGGCATGGATATGGGCGGACTGGAGTTGACTTTATGGTCCTCTTCAATGTTTTTTATTCTTACCTACTGGGTAGTAGGTATCAGGTAGTTCTCATACCCCGCCAAAAAATGAATTGATATTAATATTAGTAAATACTAATTGTCCCTCGGCTCAAGGATCACAATGGCAGCATTGAAGGTCGGCACACGGCTCAGTCAATGGACTGCGCCAACCAGGCTGCCCTTGTCAATGAATGACTTGGTGCAACTGTTGGGCCGGGCCGGCTTCATTTGGTACATTTTGAAGTAGGGGGCAAGTTATTAATAGTGCCACGAATTTCTGCGGCTCCGAGCCGGCGCCACTCATCTGTCCGGTTTCCTCCGGTTTAATATTCCCTTGTGCTGGAAGGGGAAAGGAGCACTTGGGGGCCCCTGGTGCTGCAGGGCTGGAAACGGAGGAGCCGAACATTTGAACACATGTGCACCTTGCTGTACTACCAGAAGGCTTGCGGAGGTGTGTCTGGTGCGCATGCGGAAAGGCAGTGTTCCCCTAAGAGTAGTACGTAAAGTACCAGCAAGACATTAGGTAGCTACCTAGTACTTGTACAGGGTGGACGGCAGTTCGGAGAACCCCAGGTGCCAGCCAACTGGCAATTGGCAACTGGCTAACTGGCTGCATGTGAGATCTGTGCCACGCCCTGGGGCCCCTTCTTTGCCGGCCCCGGGGTACAGATCCCAGCACTATCTTCTCTTCTTCTCTGCCCGTCTGCTACAATGGGACGGACTTGGGCGTTTGGAGTGAATGAATGATTTGCGTCTTCTCCGCAGCCAGAAGAAGAAGAAGAAGACGACGACGAGGACGATGAAGAAGTGCCGGACGCAAAGTCCACGCCCTCCTTGCCCAATGTTGGGCTGGGTATTTGATCGGGGTAACCCACACGCACGTGGCGCTTGGGTCCAGGCTTGGACGCTGTGCGCGCTCGGGGTCTCCAGGTGGTCAGCCAACCCGTCTGGTCGCATCAATGTGCAGGGGGCTGAGACTCTGAAGCCTCATGCAGCCTGGCGGCTTCAAAACACCATCCTTGCTCTTGCGACTGGGTGCGGCTCATTTTCATCTTCATACATGATTGCCGTTGCCCTCGTCGCCCTCCCCCATCGCGGACCGGCCAGATGCTGCCTGTTCCTGTGCCGTCAAAGTTCTTGCTGGGCAACCGCCGTACCAGAACACCCAGACGGCGGCATCAGTCTTTGGCTTTGGGTTGAGCGCCGCATCAACACCTGCCACAGGCTACAAAACGCTACAGACCTAGACCGAGACCTGCCTCCTCCTCCCTCGGAAGCTCCCAGATAGAGCTCACTCGCCCTCCAACAATGTCCAAGCGGACCATCTTCACAACCGTCACCCCGCTCCCCTTGGGCCTCACCCGCGATGTCGCAGTCGCCTTCCTCCATGATCACCTCCAAATGATCGATCTCAACCCGCTCATCAAGGACCGGCACCGCATCCCACCGCCTCGCCACGCGCCCGACGAAGAAGTCAGCTGCGTGTGGTACTCCCTCACCGACAGGGTGTCGTACCTGCCCGGCGGCCTTGCCTCCAGCGACGTCACCTACACGGCTGCCTTTCACGACTTGCCGCGCGGCATCCAGACGCACTGCTACGCGCCCATGGGCGTCGAAACCCGCTCCAAGTGGTCCATCGGGGGCTCCATGCCCGGCGAACCCCTGGAGCCCGTGGAGCTGGGGCTCGGCGCCCCCACGACGGGCTTGTACCTGAGGGAGGACGTGGACCTGCGGTGCAATATCCTCATGGCCAGGTTTGTCAAGAAGACGATCAAGAAGAGCCACTCTACCCTGGTGGACCGCCTACACGATCTCGCCAAGACCCAGACGAGCAGCGACAGCTCGACGGCAACGCTGCAGCAGCACCGGGATGTGCAAACCACGCTACCGGGCTTCTCTTGGCAGCGCGACGACCACATCCAGGGGCATAGCAGGAATGTGAGCAGTCCGGCCCTGACAAGCGGCACGAACCCGTTCAACGATCGGCCGTTGCCGCCCACGCCACCGGCCGAGTTGTACGATCAGAAGCCGCTGCCTTCATATCACCCCGTGGGGCGGCGTGAACCACGGGCCGCCGAACTTCAATAAACATGCGCTGCCGCACAGGATCCACAGGTGGTTTTATGCTTTGCCTCTCCAATCAAGCACTTGCGACAAGAGCCGCCGACAGAAGGCTGAGCCCTGCCGGTCTAATTCTCCGGGGCTGTCAATGCGTTCCTTTCTGGAGGCTGTGTCTCTGGAAATGGAAGTTGTAATAATATCTACGAGTATGAAGTCGAGGGTCATTAGAAACCTGAAGCCGCCGTTGCCATGGTTGTTTCACATCGTGGCAACACCTATACCCGTGTAAACACATCGCATTAATAAACTACAGAGAAATAAAAAGTTTTTCCTTCTTCTTTTTGCCACGATTAGAAGGTGATATTTGATACCTCTACCGTAAAATTCACAGTTTGTTGTTGCCTTTTACGGGCGTAGATTCTGGCTGACCTTTGCCTGCCACGAAAAGACAGGCGACTTTTTCTTCTCCCTTCGGCCGCACCATATCTCACAATGTGTCTTTACACCTTATTCAAGGGTGGTACTCGGAAACAGCACCAATAGCATGGTCAGGTCGCCAGGCCAAAGTCAAGTCCCCTCTTGGAGGCATCTGCGCTATCAATGTCTGCCTACAAACGGGGCGAAGCGTCTATCCGCGGGAGGAACTGGCACAAGTGACATAGTAAACGGAGGTGAATTCCCGGGATTTGGAAGCCAGAAACAACAGACACTTGACGCCTCGCACAGAGATGAAAGTAGCTAGTCGTATATTCAAGGGCGCTCACGAAGCCCGGCAGAGCATGCAGAGCACTGCCCCGGCTCGCAAAGAACACCCCCCATGCCATGCGGTACTAGAATTACAACCACCACCCATTAAAACGACTCCGGTTGACGAGTCGGCGTCGGCGCGCAGGGAGCAGACATCCAAGCCTCTCCTCCAAGGTCGCCTCCGTCATCATCCGGTCAACCGCCCAGTATTACGTAGAGCCACTACTCTCAAAAAAAGATTAAAACCCTGGCAAGAAATTACAAAAAAAGAATGGACTCATCATCCGACGAGCAAGTCTGTACCCCCCCTTTTGCAGAAGGGAGGGAAAAAAGGAACGAAAGGGCGGATTGTGCCGCACGGGCCCCATCTACGACCGGGCTTACAAGGCGAAAACACCACCGACAAGACCGGCGGCAGCCATGGCGAAGCCGTAGGCCGCGGTGAGACCGTCGGCGCCGGCAACGACGACGCCCGTCGTGGTGGCAGCTGGGGGAGGCTGGGGAGCACCGGTGGTCTGGACAGGCGGCTTGGAGGGAGCCTCCCTGGTGTGAGAAGGACGAGCTTCCTTGGTGTGGGGAGGACGAGAGAATTCCTCGGTGTGAGGAGGGCGAGAAAATTCCTTGGTGTGAGGAGGACGAGAAGCTTCCTCGGTGTGAGCAGGGCGAGAGACTTCCTTGGTGTGAGGCCGAGGAGGCCTCTTGTGCGTCTGGATAAAAAAAAACAGGTTAGTCAGACCAAAGATGCTCTCATAAGATGGAACAAGGCAAAGAACATCTACATACCTCGGTAACGGTGCAGGGGCACTCGGTGATGGTCAGGGTGGTGGGCGCAGTCACGGTGTACGTCTTGGTGCCGATGCTGACGGTGGTAGGCTCAGGGCAGTAGGTGGTGTAGCGGCTGACGACCTTGGTCTTGGTGACGACGGAGGCATGGGGTTCACGGCTGGCGGTGCGCCAAGTGTGCTGCCCAGACGAAGTAGTATGATGACGGCTCACAGAGGTCCACGAGTGCTTCTCGGACGAGGTAGGGCGCCAGTCGTGCGAGCTCCAAGTGTGCTTCTCCGACGAAGTAGGGCGCCAGTCGTGCGAGCTCCAAGCGTGCTCCTCGGACGAAGTAGGGCGACGGCTCGCAGAGGGCCACGAGTGCTCCTCGGACGACGTTGGGCGCCAGTCGTGCGAGCTGCGAGAGCGCTCCTCCGACGAAGAAGGGCGGTGCCAGTCGTGCGAGCCCCACGACTGCTCCCACTCATCCGGCCTGGTGGTCGGCGGCGGCGGCACCGCAGAGTAGGCCCTGGAGCCCGAGCCCAACTCGGCCGGCGGGGGCGCCTGGCCGACGACGGAGCCCACGAGGGCAGTCGCGAAGATGATGGCCTTGGTCTGCATGGTGAGCGACGGGGTTCTGGGGATTAGAGAATAAACTAAAAACTAGCGAGTGTTTTGTGTTGCGGTCTTGGTGGAAGAGACGACGACGAGAACGACGACAACAACAGCAACGGCGACAACAACAACAATAAGCGAGTGTTGTAGTAGAACGAATGTGAATGGTGTTTTCCCGATGGAACAGGAGACTGCAAAGCAAGAAAGTGAGATGTCAACTCGAGGCTAGAGAGGGTATTTATGTCTAAACTCTTGTTCCATCTTCTTTTCCTCCCCCTTCTTTTCTCCATGTTTGTTTTCCGATTCGCTTTCTTTTTTGTTTACGCGGCGAAAATACTACTTGCTACGAAAACAGACATTGGCCAAGATGCAAATGAGACACAGCACCGCAGGATCGGCGCGCACCTCGAGGCGCTTTGCTAGAAGCAAGACACCAACATTTTGGGAATCCCCGGCTTCGTATAAAACAGCCAATCTCGTCCTGCTCGCAACGGCCTCCAGAGACATGCCAGACACCGGGCCATTCCACCCTTGAAACAAGGCCAAAAGAGGAAAGCCCACTGGGGTCTCGGTACATGCAGACGGAGCCGGTGCGGCGGGCCAATGAGCGTCCGGCGGGCCAAGACTCGCCAAGCATGACCGACACTGACCGACTCGACGCATTCCAGTCGTCCCGCCGCTTCTGGCAATCCAGAGTCACGGCACACAAACACGCTTGAACCTCGTCGCGTGCCAGCCAGTTCGCGTGCCTGCGATGCTCCTGCGGCAACCAGACATTGTGCATTCCTCGCAACACCACTTGTCGATCCATCACCAGGCCCGTCAGGCACCACAACCAAACTTGGCCCTGTTGCTCCTGCTTGGGGAATGGTTCGCCTGCCTTCTTGCCCTTCTAGCTGCTGCAATTGATTATGCATGCATGCATTCATCCAGTCTTACACACTAGTTGCGCTCGTCCAAAGTCCAACACAAGCCCAACCCCGGCACCTTTCAATAAGACGTAATTGCACCTTCATACTCTGACAGCTCGAAAGTCGTCTGTTCAGTCTCTCTTTTTTTATTTCCTAACCATCTATGTACCGGCCCCCACATGCCGTCTGCGGTCTGCTGTCTGCTGCCTGTCGTCTGCCAAGCAGGCCTAAGATCCCCGAGTCGTCATGATTTACATTCGCATTCTAGGTACCGTGTACACCCAAAGCCCTGGAAATCTCAAACTTTTGCCTGAATTGGGTTGAAATCCCGGGGAATAAGACTCCGCCGCCACCTCGGGTTTCGGGATATCGTGGGGAACGACACCGGCGACAAACCGGCCCCTCTGATTGGCCTTTTAGGAGTCTCTGCACCGTTCCGCGTTCCGCCCTCTTCTCCCGAAGTCTTCTCCCGACCGTTTCCCCTCTGCCAGGCCGTTGAGTGGCGGCATTGGTGGCTTGGTGGCTTCTGCATTTTCTGGCTCTTCCGCCGTTCCACGGCTCCCATATACGTACCATGACGCTTACCGACCGACGCAGGGGGCAAAATTCTGAACACGCTCCATCAGAATATGTCGCTGGTCTCATTGTGGCCTCGACTCGACCCGACGCCTCACAAAGGGCGCGGTATCAACGCATGCCATCCATGTTTGCAGTGTTTGTCATCATAGAAAAGGTGAAATTGCCCCCCCTCTAAGCCCGTTTTTCCCCAACGCCGTCTTCATTTCCAATCAAACAGAGACACAGAAAACAAGGCCACGGGGGCCAATGCCGCAGGCCATAGCAACAAGCGTGTTTTAAGAAGTAAAAAATGTAATAAAAAAGAGGGAGCATGCAAAACGTAAGCATAAAGGCAGCAGTCTTGTCCAGCCAGTTCAGAACACTAGCCACTGAGCACACTCAATGCCGTGACTGACGTCTCGGTCTGGACTGCGTGCCTGGTGACCCACGCCCATTGGTGTTGGTATTGTATATAAATGAGGCCATAAAATGAGGCAAAAAGTATATAGTTTCCGAAAATAACGCAAAGAACACCGATTGATGCAGAGGTATAAGATCTCGAATCTAGAACATCTCATGAGAAAACAAAATGACCTTGTAAAAAAGCGAAATTGACGGCTGCCTCGTGAATGGTGGATAATGCTGTTCGACGCAAGCGTCTAAACTTTAACCGATGGGGCATGACTCTCGACTGCTCTTTGGCCAGCCACCTCGGACTCTCAGCCCAGTAAAGGAAATGATTTCTTATTTGCGGTTAGAACGACTTTGGCTCCGCTCGGGTGCGCGGGCCGACATGTCAAGATCGTAGTTCCTGAGTTGCTGCTCATACTTGGCGTTGCGAAGAAATTTCGGTACCGAATCCTGCAAGGAAAGGCAATCAATCTCCGTCAGTCTGCCGGGCCTCCCGATTCATGTGCGCCACAGGCCCCCGGGGGGGCAAGGGTTGGAAACAACAAAAGAATTCTAGAACAGGACAGAGACTTACGCTAGCCATCAACTTGAAAACTGCATTTTGTGCATCCTCGAATAGAGCCGTTACCTCCTGCAACGTCTCAATCATTGTGTTGTCTTGACCCACAGCCTTGGTCATGCGAGTAGCCAGATTGTTGCGGAGTTGATGGTCAATATTGAGTTCACAAGGTGATCCTGGAGCCAAGAACGCATTGTAGATGCCGTAGGCTTGAGCCATGATTTCCTTGATGGTGTCCATAGAACTCGCGTTCGGTGCCTTTTGAGCTTGACGGATGGCATCCTTGCAGCTGCGTACGAATTCGGCAACGTCCTTGTAAAATGATAAATTCTCTTCGCAATGGGTTTCTCGCAAATTTTCCCTGAAAAGAAGACGCAGGGCAGCATCGTTCAGGATCTTCTCTAGTCTCTGAGTGTTGGAATCTCTTGTAATGCCATTTCGTTGAGAGCCTGTACCATTTTCGCTTTCTGATGCACGGCCCCTAGAACCACTTCCACTGATTAGCTCTTTACCACGTGCAGTGAGCTGGTAGATGGCATGTTTCGTTGGCTGAAACAAGTTGTATCCCGTGTTCTGTGACATAAAGGCCCGATCCTGAACGACAGGCTCCATCAAGTCGTACTCGACAAACAGGGACGCAATCTCGATGGTTTCACGACGGTCGACGATTGTGGAACAGTCCATCAGCCAGTCCGTGGTGGCCTTGCCAGTGAATGTGTCTTTGTAGGCCTTGCCATTCACCTTCCGCTCTGCTGCCATTTTCACTCCTGTGAGCCCATCCCTATAATCGTGTAGGGAGTCAGAGTCTGCGGCAGTGACGCTGGTCTTGACGTTGCGTCGATCGGCACCAACAAACCGGCGGAAAATCACCTCGATAGTACCCCAATCGTGTAGAAGCTTGTCTGTTTGCTCGTCACGTTCTAGAATGACCAACTGAGCTGAGCACATATTGGATAATTCGGCAACCTGCTTCTGCTGGATGCCATTCCTGGAACAGAAGCGATCCAACACCGTGATACCCTTTGGAGTCAATTGCCAAACGGATCCCTTCATGTTGTAAACTTGCTGGTATTTACCGTCTGCTGATTCAATAAAGCGGGCCTCCACGAAGCGCTGGCAGATAGACCTGGCCATGTCTTTGGCCATGGAAAAGGTCGTTGTTGTCGTCGTGGTAACAATTCTAGAAGGATCCTTGGGATCGGGCATTCGATTTGATTGTGAAAATTTTAGTGAGCCAAGGTTATTGATGGCATCTTCTGAGAGGAAGGTGTATTCAACTTTTGACAACCGTACACGGTGTGCAGAGAGAGGAAGCAAGCTGACAATGAGAGTTGCGAACAAGTCTTTGAAATCCTGTTTTTTTTTTTTTTGAATGCAATTAGCGAGAGGGTTTCTGGCCAAAAAAATGCCTTAAAGAGAATTGTTTTCAAAAAAAAAAAAATAATAAAACATTTCACTTTAACAATCTTCTGCATCTGCAATACTGCGCATTGAAGTAGAATAATCCAAGAGTCAGGGCAGGCAGTCTGAGTGAGACGATGTTGGTATCAGTGAGTGAGGAAGTGAGTTCAGTCTCGCATAAACAAGACCAAGGAGGCGACCCCCACAGAACTTCCCGCCTCGTGGTTTGCAAATGCACGTCACCCAATCTGATGACCAATCCGCTGATTGCTTTTCAACACTGTAATGCAGGTCTCTTCCGGTACAGCAGGATGACAGGGATGAATCTCAGGGCTTGTCAAACGCAGCAATAAAGAGTGAGGAGAGGATAGAGAGGCCATCGGATTGCATAGAACATACCCTTGTGAAAGGTCGGTCATCGTCAGTCATGCGCAATAAGCGCGACGATGTTTGATGCATTTTCCTGTCAGATGGCGCTACTCTGATAGGTGCGGGCAGGCTTGGATCTGTCTCCGAGTATGGCTGTGAAGGTGGATGGTTCGGCTGAGCCGCCAGAGACACTACCTTGATTTGGGCTCTTGGGGCAGAAGTCAAGGAGCCGTTGGCAGAATATGCCTTGAATCCGGCGGTTCTGCCTGGGCCGCAGGGCTCTGGATTGGGAGCAGAAACAGATTGCAACGATAGACGAGCCAGTGCCGAGTTTGACTGTCGAGGCCGAATGACGGGTTCAGATATGCCGGCAAATGCGTTCTGGGTTCTGTCCAAGGCGGCAGCGGCTCGGCTGAGAAGACTGTTGGCAGAACGCTGTGATCTGGAAAAGGAACTTGCGGACGGAGTGCTCGAGTGGCGCTGGTGGTGGGAGGAAGCGGGCACGGTGGTGAGGTCGGCAGGCAGGCGGTCTGACGTCGATGATCGAGTTGCAGAGGTGTAGTGCCTCAATGGCGGGGTGTGGTGCGCGTGGCGGTTATCGTGACCGCGATGATGCGTCTTGGAAGCTTGCGAGGGAGTGTCGTCTTCGATCGGAGGTCGATGCGACAGGGCGGCCATCTGACGGAGCCAAAAAAGTTAGGAACAGGTGGTGACGGCGATGGGAAAGTTGAAATAGAAGACAAAGCGGACTGCATGGGACGAGCAAAAGAATTAGGACAGAGATGGTCAGAACCTAG